TTGATCAGACCACAAGCCATATGAATCTGCAGAAAATTATTAGAAAACGACCATTAAATTTGGTCACAGCTATGTAACGATTTAAGGAGGCTTTTGCAAGTTCGCCTCCTACCACCTTTTCAGGTTTGTCCTCTGAGGTTAAACAAGTTCGCGCCCACCTTTGCCAGCTCGCTAAATCTTCAACTCGTTTCATTACAACAGAACATATTATTTGGCTGTCGAAATCAAAACACCTTTGAAATAATTTTTATATAGGCGGTAAGCTGGTAAAGATTGGGACGAACTGGATTTTTTCCTCTGACAGCGAACTCGCCGAGATGGTAGGGAAGCGAACTTGTTAGCGAACAGCGAAAACCATTTTCAAGAAATATAAATGCTTACTTTTTCCCTCAAGAAACAGCTTTACAAAGAACTTCCACGTCCCACTAAAGTAACCGTCAGCGCCAAAGCTCAAGACAAAGTGATAATATGAAATAGCAACGTCTCTTGGATTTCTTGCCACGTAAATATACTTGCTGCTTTTGGTTTCATCTTTGCTCATCGGAATCACGTGATAAGGAAGATGTGACTTTATTAAGCCGGGACTAGGCCGAGAATTGACCGAGACCTTCTTCTTGTCTGAGTCGTCTCCAGGCCTATCGAAGAGTTGACTTTTCTCCAAAAAGGGGTATCGCCTTTCCAGTCTTTCTACACTGATTTTTCCATCGTTGAAAATTTGCCAGACAATTTCTTGCACCCAGGTTGTTCCTGTGGCAAAAGTAAACTAGTTCAAGAACGGATCTCGTTTTCTGCAGTTTTCATTTCTCGTAAGCTCTTATTCGGTCGGTTGTGAACATAAGCTACTCCGTCAGTTGTAGGAGTGATTCGGTTGGTTATAAAATTTTAGTGTTTTACACTCTCTCCTTATAGACCYTTTTTTCAGCTAAGTGGTCACGTGGTCTGAAATGGATAAATATTGATTGAAAATGGATGCTAAAGCATATGTCGCTGACGTCTTATGGACAAAATTTGATCTTCTCTCACCGAAATTTTCATGTTCACAAATGAATCAGCACTCAGAAGACTGCCTTGAAATAAAGAAACCGACTACAAAGTGGGGTAACTTGACCAATCGGAAAGTTTTTCATTGAGAATGTAAACAGCCTCGAATTGGGAAGACACAATCTTAAAATTTCGAAACAAATTACAAGAAACGAACAAGAAATGAAGCGAATGCATCACAAAAAAGAAAAGCTGTGGAAAGTATTGGAGGCCTACTCTGGGACCTTAGGTTGCCTAAAGTCGCCTTAAATCGCCTTAAGTCGTAACA